AATACATTTTAAGCCGCCATTGCAGCCGATAAAGAGCACAGTTCGCTTAGAAGAGACCGTCAATCTCGCCAGTCTCGGGATCAATGTCAACATTGAGATACCCGGGTGCTGTAGGCAATCCAGGGATGGTCTGGATATCGGCAGCCAAGGCGTACCTAGAAGCTGATTAGTAAAATCACACAAGGGGACGAGAAGAGGGGGTTCATACAAATATCCAGCACCGGCAGCCATGCGAACATCCCGGACAGGGATGGTGAAGCCGGTGGGTGCACCCTTCAGATCGGGATCGTGAGATAGCGAGTACTGCGTCTTAGCAACGCAAATAGGCAGGTTTCCGTAGCCTTGTCGTGTGTATGTATCGACCTTCTTTTGGGCGAGCTCGCTGAACTCAACAGCATCGGCGCCATACATCTTCTTTCCAATGGCCTCAATGCGTTCGTGAATAGAACCGTCGAGGCTGTATGTAAGAGTAAGCTCCTTGGGCTTCTCGCTGGCAGCGATAACACCCTTGGCAAGGTTGACTGCACCTTTGCCACCCTCCGCCCAGTGGCTGGAGAGGATAGCATCCTCGGCACCTGCAGCGATAGCCTCTTCGCGGATCACAGCAATTTCGGCCTCGGTATCAGTTGAGAACTGGTTGATGGCAACAACAACGGGGATACCGAAAGACTTGGCGTTCTCAATGTGCTTCTTCAGGTTAACGCAGCCAGCTCGGAGAATTTCGACATTCTCCTCCTTGTAAACGCCGCTCAAAGCAGCTCCTGGGGCAATGGGGGGACCGCCGCCGTGGACTTTGAGGGCTCGTACGGTTGCGACAACCACAACGACATCTGGCACCAAACCTGAAGTGCGGCACTTGATGTTGAAGAAACGCTCACCTCCCATTGTGAAGTCGAAACCGGCCTCGGTCACGACGAAACCAGCCTTCTCACTGTGGTCCTCGTCAGGCTCAGTGCCAGCCAGCTTCAGAGCGAGCTTGTCAGCAAGGATAGAGCTCTGACCAATGCTGATGTTGGCAAAAGGTCCAGCATGGACAAAGACTGGGGTTCCTTCCAGAGTCTGCATAAGGTTAGGCTTGATGGCGTCCTTCATCAAAGCAGCCAAGGCACCACCGGCTCCAATATCGTCGGCGGTGACGGGGTCACCACCCCGAGATGATGCAACGACCATGGCGCCGAGCCTCTCCCGCATGTCCGCCAAGCTGGTGCTCAGAGCAAGAATGGCCATACATTCACTGGCAACTGAGATGTCGAAACCAGTCTCGCGAGTCTGGCCTCTCTCAGTAGGGGCGGTACCTACGGTCACGCCTCGGAGATGACGGTCATTGACATCCAAAACGCGGCGCCAAGTGATTGTCTCAGGGTCAATATCTAGACGAGCAAAACGGTGGATCTCATCTTCGGTGAGATCATCTGGGTTGGTCTTATCGATGCCAAGCTTCTTGAGGCGTCGGAACATGACTGGAGCAAACTTCTTCTCACCTCCCTTGCCCGTGACCAGGCGACGGAAGAGGGGTCCATCCTTCTGTGTATTCTCGTGGAAGATTCGAGTTTCAATAGCTGCTGCCAAAAGGTTGTTGGCGGCGGTGATGGCATGGATGTCGCCTGTGAGATGCAGGTTGAACTCGTCCATAGGGATGACCTGACTGTAACCACCTCCAGCAGCACCGCCCTTGATACCGAAAGTAGGTCCCTGACTGGGCTGACGGACATTGGCAAAGGTGAGACGGTCAAGATGAGCACCGAGGGCCTGTGCCAGGCCCATAGTAGTAGTTGACTTTCCTTCACCAAGAGGTGTGGGTGTGATACCCGTCACAACGACATAGCGACCATTGCGACGATGGTCAAGTCGTTTGAGCAGGCTGAGATCGACCTTGGCCTTGTAGGCGCCATAGGGTTCCAATTCATGGGGAGCAATACCCACCTCGTTTGCAATCTGGGTAATCTGCTTGGGGGTTTGAGCCCTGGAGATGGCAATGTCGGAAGGCACGGTCTCCTGGATATTCAAGGGCAGAGGGATAGTCTTCCTGGACTTTTGAGACTCGAAAAATCTATCCGCGGCGTCGACAACGTTCTGCATCAGCATGGCCACAGTCATAGGTCCAACACCGCCTGGAACCGGGGTGATGGCTGAGGCGACCTCAAAGGCGGAGTCATAGTCAACATCACCAACGAGTCGTTGGCCAGACTTCTTAGTGCTATCCGGGATGAAGTTGGTACCGACATCGATGACAACGACGCCCGGCTTTAGCCATTCGCCCTTGACAAAGTGAGCCTTTCCAATGGCAGCGACGAGGACATCGGCAGTCTTGATAACCTCAGGAAGGTTCTCGGTCTTCGAGTGGCAGACGGTGACGGTGGCGTTGGCATTCTTGAGCAGGTAGCTCACCGGGCTGCCAACAATGTCACTGCGTCCCAGAACGACAGCGTTCTTTCCAGCAAGGGAAACTCCAGCATCCTTGAGCAGACAAAGAACACCCTGTGGTGTGCAGGGGATGAAGAATGGCTTGCCGCCCTTCTTGGCGAGCTCACCAATGTTCTTGGAGCCGAAACCGTCGACATCCTTTTCGTCTGCGACAGCTGAGGTGATATTATATTCAGAAAGGTGAGCAGGGAGAGGAAGCTGGACCAGGATACCATGGACCTGAGGATCACTGTTGAGACTACGAATACGATCCAAGATTCCAGCTTCAGAGATAGACTCGGGAAGGTGAATCAATTCACAGTCAATGGACGCCTGTCGTGAGAGTCAGTGAGGGGTTGAGGTCACACACAAACATGGGCAATGCGTACCTCGGTGGCGGCTTTGAGTTTCATACGAACATAGGTCGCTGTGAAATCTCGTATTAGCACTGGCTGGATTGAGCTGCCACCATGGACCAGACGGGATGCTCTACTGAGCGGGCCTGCATCATGTCATAACATAATGGATGGTGGGGGCGGGGTAAGACGAACTTGAATCGGATCGATCACCAACTAGAGAAGGGATGTCAGTCGTCTCAATCAACACATTGCGCCGTAGAGGAGCGGAGGCGGACTAGATAGTAAGCGCAATGGTGCGCGGGCGGACTGGCCAGAGGCGGGACATACCTTGGATGATCTTGAGGGTTGGCTTGTAACGGGGGTTGAGCTTCTGCTTCTCAGCAATCTCTGTCCCGAGCCTCTCCCGGATGTTCTTTGCGATGGCAGTGCCATCAATCTTTACGGCCACCATTGCAACGGGGGAGGAGGAGCAGAATTGTCTTTTCTGAGGCCGCAAACTGTGTCGGAACGGGGAGTCGACCGCACCGCAAGACAACAGCAATGGTTTGGAGGTGGTAGAGAAGGAGATGGGGAGATAGCTCGGGGGCGCTGATAAGGGCTCTTTATCTCGGGCTCCAGCAGTATTAGTGGTGCCAACTCTGCGAGAGAACCCCGGGCTGCAATACCGACGGGAAAAGTGCCGATGGAGGGGCGCTACACTACCAGCAGGCCGGCCCAAGGGATTGGAACATAGACGGTCGCCTCGTTGGGTTGCCGGATCAGGCGTGGGGCGTGCATTTCTGCGGTCGCTGGTTCTCGTGAGGTTACCTTTCGCGATGGTGCTGCGATGCCGGAAACGGCCGACAGGCGGCGGCGGCCATGACAGCCGGTCACATGAGCTTGAGCTTGAGCTGGAGATGTGCTGGAAACTACGACTAGACGTGTGGTAGAAACTCTGTTGTTGACGGCGTTCCTGAAGCTTCGCCCAGGTTTCACATACTGCAACTTTTGCACGAGTGCGCGCGCGGGACAGGGCGAAGCCGCACGAGCAGCCCGTCATCAAGTCCAAGCGGAGGAAAAAGGAGCGTAAGGGGGAGTAAAGAAGGAAAAGAAGGAGAAACAAATCCGCTTCACATGCTAATACGCGAGGCGTCACAACCAGCCTTTGCCATCAAGAATCAAATCAAATAAGTCGCTGTCATTGTCAGTACAAAGTTTGCACCAGAAGCGAGACTCTTAGTCATGCGCGAGTCTGCAGGGACTCTCATAGCGCGGCCCTGTGGCAGCCGCCCAAGTCGTTGGATGTCCAGACAATCTAGGTAGGTAGGCAATTCGATAGCAGGCCATGATGCGAGATAGATGTGGCATGTCTACGTAAAGATTAAGTATATAGGTGGCAGGAAATTCAGCATTTCTAGTTATAGTATGCTCGACTCCTCTGCTGGTCCTGCATATAGCAGACATGGGACGGACCTACAGCCGCTAGCCCACTCCCTCCCTTGTTCTCAGTAGACAGCTCGGATAGTATCCGCCTATCAACCTCAATTCCGCTTCAGCAGTGAAGATAATCGATTCCTTCAACCCACTCAGGGTCAGTTTTAAAGAGGAACCATCCATGCAGGTACATACCTAGGTGTCTACTCTACCCATTCTCCAATGGTTACAGCCAGACTCAGAAAATTGTCCAGAGTGCATTGCAAAGACTCATATAACCAGATGCGTCATGCAGCAGTTGCCACGACCACGTAGGGGTAAGAAATCACCACATTGTGCGCAAATTGATACAAGGCTTTCGCCGTCATTTTGAATCATTTCGACTCATTATCTTGGTACCCTGCCAGGGGCCAAATTGATTACTCGGTGACTCACGGTTGACCTGACTTCTGACGAGATGGATGATTAGACCATGTTCATGGGGGGTTGACTCAACAAGCCAAACAACTACGCCGCACATAGTCTCTTTCTGAGGCATTGGCGCCAGGTTGAACAACAATTCAATTCCCAACTTTGGCACGCCCGACGATTCACACAGGGCAGGCTCACCACATGGCGCTGCAAAAGGTGGCGAGAGGTGTGCGAAATATGACTCTTCGAGACTAGCACCCCGTCGCATTTACGCGGGGGGTGGAGCCGGTGTGCCCCACCAAAACGCACAACCGCCAAAAATTCAAAGACCTTGTAAAGACTTATAACATCGCCGCGCCCTCAGAAACCACCCCGCCCGGCCCCCAGACGAGCCAGATACACAACCCACCCATCATGAGACCTATTCTTTTGTCAGGGCACGAGCGTGCGCTCACCCAGATTCGGTATGTGCCATTTTCATCTCGCCAGGAGCGCGCAGACGGACGGGAGAGCACGATGAAGAAAGAGGCCCCCCGTCAAGGAGGGGCGGGTTTATTGAGCGTTTACTCGGAAGACTTTGCTAACACCGCGCCTCGCGTCTCCCGGATAGATACAACCTCGATGGCGACATCATCTTCTCCGTCTCCAAGGATCAGCAGATTTGCGCTTGGTTCTCTCACAACGGCGAGCGTCTCGGTACCTACCACGGCCATGTCGGTGCCATCTGGACTGTCGACGTCGAACCCACAACGACCATGATCGCCTCCGGCTCCGCAGACAACACCATCCGCCTCTGGAACGTCAAGTCCGGAAAGAACATCAAGACCTGGGAGTTCCCCACCGCCGTCAAGCGTGTCGAGTTCAACGAGGACGGCACTAAGCTGCTCGGCGTGACGGAGAAGCGCATGGGCTACCTCAGCAACATCGTTGTCTACGACATCAACCCCGACCCCGACGCCGAGCAGACCGAGGAGAGGGCCCTCACCATCGTCTGCGACGAGAGCAAGGCCACCGTCGCCGGCTGGAGCTACCTCAGCAAGTACATCATCGCCGGCCACGAGGACGGCAGCGTCAGCCAGTACGACGCCAAGACCGGCGAGCTGCTCGACAACGTCCCCATCCACGAGCTCAACCAGCCCATCGTCGACCTCCAGTGGTCCCCCGACAGGACCTACTTCATCACCGCCTGCAAGGATAAGACTGCCAAGGTATGCCCCCTCCATCCCCATCAACAGAATCCCGGCCCGCCCCCCTCCCACATTCCTTCCCCCCGAAACTAACTCGTTATCCTCAGCTCATCTCTGCCCGCGACCTCTCCGTCATCAAGACCTACACAGCCGACACCCCCCTCAACAGCGCCACCATCACCCCCAAGAAGGACTTCGTCATCCTCGGCGGTGGCCAGGCCGCCATGGACGTCACCCGAACCTCCGCGCGGCAGGGCAAGTTCGAGGCCCGCTTCTACCACAAGATCTTCGAGGACGAGATCGGCCGCGTGAGGGGCCACTTCGGCCCCCTCAACACCGTCGCCACCGACCCGACCGGCAAGAGCTACGCAAGCGGCGGAGAGGACGGCTACGTCCGTGTCCACCACTTCGACAAGGGCTACTTCGATTTCCTCTACGAGGTTGAGAGGGAACGCATCAACCGCTTGTCGTAAGGGATATTGGTGGGACATGGTTTTTGCTCGTCATTTCCTGTGGGCTTGCATGGTTTGGCGTTTTCTGGGCAAAAGGGGGGGGAATTTCCGTCTATGTTTTAAAGTAGGGTTTGTTCTGAGATGAAGTGACAAAAAAGAGGATGGATGGACTAGAGATGAAGAGCGAGAAGGGGGGAGTAGAGCAACCGTATGTAATTCATACCATCTCTTCACGACTTAAAGAAGGCTCAAGAATGCACGAATTTGACTACCTTGTTATTTATGCTTATATATCTCAAGATCGCAATCCGCGTCCAGTGTCTCCCTCCCTCTACCCTTTGATAATTGATACAAAAATTTTGTGTCGTCTACATACCTGCCCCCTCTTCCTAAACGCCCGCGTGTAAATTAAATGCAGAAGATGAATCCAGTTTCGCGTTCTGATGCCCGCCGTCAGTATGCGGCAAACACACGCGCCATTAAGATGGATTCTGCAACAATCTATTTCTTCTTTCCCTTTTTACCCTTGGTGGCCCCCGTCGACTGTGTAGAGGCAACGCTTGAGGCTCTGGATGGCGCTGCTGAGCTAGCCTTGCTTCCTTTGGCAGACTTGACGTTATCGAGAGCTTTGTTCTATTAAATGGTTAGTAAACCTAGATCGGCATCTTGACGCTTAATGTACGCTATACATACCTTAACACCGTTCTTGGCCTTCTTCTTAGCAGGGGCTCCCAAGATGCTGTCCTCGTCATTCTCCTCGTCAGGCTCGCGCTTTGTCTTGCCGTTCACGCCGTTGGAACCTCTGGCCGGCACATCCTCAAACTCCTTTACGATTGTCGTGATGAGAGTGGTACATCGGCGAGAAAGCTCGACAGGGGAGCGGCTAAGGAAGAACCAATCGAACCGGAATAGAGGAGAATCTCGGATCTCGTCTCGCATGGTCTCGTAAAGGTTTTCGGAATCAATACCAAGACGGTCCAGGAGAACCAGCAAGAACCGATCCTCTTCCTCTGTATAGACCTTCTTGTTTGTGGTCGACACAGAATAGTTGATCTTGAGCTGCTGGAGCGGGACACGGTACTGTTGCATCTTCTTGCGGAGAAGCTTTTGCTGGTGCTCAATTCGTCGGGTACGCTCCTCGCCATCTTCAATGATCTTGATATACTTTTGGTAGTCCGAAATCTCCTTGTATCGCTGCCAAAATACCTTGGCAAATGCCTTGACTTCAGACGTGGTTCTGTTTTCAATCTCATCCGAGATGCCATCAAGATCGTTTCGGCCGCACTTTGCGGAGGCATTAATGAAGGAAGTGAAGTCTCGGCGGCTCCAATCCCCGAATCCCTGTGTCGAGAGTTCCTCCTTCTCTTGCCTTTCGTCTTCTGTGAGAGGTTCGGCTTCATCAATCACTTTTTGCGCCTCTGCCCGCTCAGCTTCTCGCTCAGACAAGTTCTCCTCTTCGCCGTCAGGGAGCGGCACCTTGTACCCTATTTCTTTGCGGTAATAAGCTGTTTCCTTGTCCTGGATTTCTCGCAATCTGGCTGGGTAGAACTGGTAGTCATGGATGGCCACCTGTCTGGGTGCACGAGGGGCTTTGGGCTTTGCATCAGCCTTGGGATTGGGGTACATGGCGCTTCGGAAATACTTGTCCATCGAGTATGATTGTTCCTTGCGCTCTCGCTTTGCCGGGTTAATCCAGTTCATGCCAATGTCCTTCTTGGTGTTGGCAAAATTTTCGCCGTTCCATTCATAAGCTGATTCTGAGCTGAACTTTTGCAGATCATCAATGCCGAGTTTCTCATACTTGGCATTCAGCTGCTTGGTACGGTCCTCTCCCGATGCAAGAATGGCCTCGATGTCATCATCGCTCACATCCGCACCGTCTTCTTTGGCACCAGCCGCTCCCTTGGACTGAAAAACCTTTTCTGCTCCATGCTGAATCATGGATAAAAGCTCATCCTTATTCGCCGCAGCCTTCGCCGCGTTCTGGGCTCTGCCCTGTTGAATAACAAGCTGATCCAACCGCAGCTTTTGGGCCGCTCGTTCCAGAACTTTCTCCTCAATTGCATTGTCGGTTACAAATCTGTATACCACAACTTGTTTTGTCTGGCCAATTCGATGAGCACGATCCATAGCTTGAAGATCTGCCTGGGGGTTCCAGTCGCTGTCGTAGAGAACAACAATATCGGCAGTCGTTAGATTGATACCCAAGCCACCAGCTCGAGTAGTGAGAAGGAAGATGAACTTCTCGGATCCGGGCTTGTTGTATTCGTCAATGGCAGCAATTCGGTCCTCGTGGGCGGTACCACCATCGATTCGGCAGTACTTGTACCCTCTGAAAACACAGTAATCTTCAAGAATATCAAGCAAACGACTCATCTGGGAGAAGATGAGAACTCTGCTGCCCTGCGTCTGCAGACGGGCAAGGAGCTTGTCAAGCACCTTCATCTTGCCGGCATTATAAACCAAATGTTCATCCGTCGTATAGGGAGGGCCAGGCTCCGCGCCCTCAAACAAATACGGGTGATTGCAACACTTTCGTAGCTGCATCACGATGTTGAGCAATCGGGTTTTGGACTCACGCTTCCCTCCAGCACCATTAACCGCGTCGATGTCCTTCTCAAGAATCTTTTGGTACCATTTGACCTGCATGTCTGACATTCCCAGGTACAAGTTGACTTCTTTCTTCGGAAGAAGACTTTTCTCGACATCGCTCTTGACACGGCGCAACAAGAACGGACGCAAAACTCGATGCAGTTGTTGAACGACAGTATCCTGGTCGCGATCGTCTCCAGAAAACCACTGGTCAAATGCCTGGGGATCACCGAAGACATCAGGGAGGAGGAAGTTGAGCAGGGCCCACAGCTCATGTAGATTGTTTTGGAGGGGAGTGCCGGTAATAAGAAGTCGATTCCGGGACTGGAACAGTCGGATCACTTGCGACAGCGAGGACTCTTCGTTCTTGATTCGGTGAGCCTGTAAATCATTCGGTCAGCGGTATACTCAAGGTCTATTAGTAACCAGAACATACTTCATCGATAATAATGTATTCCCATGCAAACTTCTTGAGGTGGCTTTTCTCTCGTAGCACCATCTCATAACTCGTAACACAAACATCAAATTTTTCATCGACGAGGCGTTCGTTGATCAACTCATGGCGCTCTTCCTTGGCACCCTGAAGAACAAGAACATTAACCTCCGGAGTCCATTTGGCGAACTCTCGCTTCCAGTTGTCGAGCGTAGATTTAGGAACGATGACCAGGTGGGGTCCAGTGATCCCAAGAATGTGCCTGAGGTAACCCAGGAAAGAGATTGTCTGAAGGGTCTTTCCGAGACCCATTTCATCGGCAAGAATACCCGAAATGCCATTTTCATGAAGCGAAATCATCCAATTCAGGCCGGCAACCTGGTAGTCTCTCATGGTGCCTTGGATAAACGGTGGTGATTCTCTAAAGACAACCTCCGCAGCGCCACCTCGTCTCTCGTCCTTGAGCAGCTCCGCGTCTTCCTCGGCCTCGGTGCGGCGGCGTCTATCGCTGGCTGCTCCGCCTTGTCGGCCAACACTCTTCTTCCTCTTCGTTGCTTCGGCGTTCTGGCGATCGATTTCGGTCATGATGTCTCGAATCTTAGGGTCCGGGTTTGTCTCGATGAAATGCCTAAACAAGTCCGTGAGACCGAGTAAGTAACGGAATCTTCGGATAGTATCATCCTCCTATCAAAAACGACATTATTAGCAAACTTTTTAATAGTAGAGCGCTCAACCATTGCCTACCTTGGATTCACCAAGAACATCGTGCTTCTTGCCGAAAATGCTCCGCCGAAGCTGATTAGCTTCTGTGCGGCGCTTACGGCCATCACCCACGGGCTCGCCAGCAACACTGCTTGCCGTGGTGTTTGGGTTGGTGTCGGAGTCCGAAATATCGGGGGTATCAACATCCTATAGAACAAAGGTCAAACTGCAAGTCTCTAATCCCAATCGACGGTGCGCACTCACCATTCCTTCTCCTTGGCGGCGATCAGGCACGTCCGACATAGACGCGTCTACATCAGTATCCGCGCCATTGGACTTTGATCGCGGAGGCATTTCAAAAGACAGCTTCCAGAAACCTCTTAACGCGACTTAGCGTCTGGAAGACGCGTCTATACAAGCTCTGGTCGAATAAGAAAGCGAAAGAAATAGATTAAAGGTTTTCGGGATGCTAGGTTTGATGGTCGGCTTGCGCAGTGCCGTGTCTCTGCGCGAGTAAAGAAGCGCGTGAACGACCTATAAAGATGATCCCGAAGTTGTGTTTGTGAGAGATGGATAGGTCACTTAGTCAAGAATCTCCAGACGCAGGTCGATGGTCAGAACAAAATTAGGTCTAGCGTAATCCGATAGGCGGACCCTGGTCGCGCTTGCCAGTAGCCTTCGTTATCGGATAATTGAAAGGGCCGGTTTAGGGGTCTCTGTAGGGCCTAGATGCAGGTATCGGGATGGATCATTCTTAGGTTTACGTATCGTACATGAGATGTGCATCTAGCGTTCCCGACGTCATCTTTGCCCTAAAATCTCTGTAAACATAGAAAAATACTACGAAGACTACAATCGTGGTAGATAGTAGCAGTCGCCATTTTCAGCTCAAGATTCGCGATTCCAGTCATCCGGGTGAGGTACAAGGATACCTGCACCACGTACCGCATCAGAGTTCTCCCCTACATGTACCCTGTTTGGGTGGGACGCATGGGCCACCTGACATTAATCTGCTCCCCCACCATCAGCTGTCTAGGTTTGATTTCTAACGATTGACTCTACCACTGCGTCACTTGCAGGCAATCACATAGACCTCCAAGCGCCTCGAGATCGATCCCGGGGTTGTTCTAGTTGGAATACAGTGTCGGCTCAAGAACTGTAAGCCCTTTGTACACTGCCTTCGGTGCACTGTCAGCTCCCTATTGAGGTGAGTCATCACAGCATCAACAAAGCTGTCGGCATTTGTCGACGGTCCGGCGTTTCTAATCAGCCGATTAGGTTGCTCAAC